TCATTTCCACTTTATTATCGCTTTCTGGCCCATGTATGATAACGTCCTCAGCCTTAGTGGGTAGTAATGGCAAACCCCTCTGAAGAGGCTGACCAAGGTCCAAAAAGACATGGCAGAAATAATTCAGTTTGAGACCGCTTTAACTGCCCTGGATCAATGCTAGGGAATTCTGGGAACTGTGGTTTTGTGAGACATTTAGCCTTCTCTGTCAGACAGCTCTGGTGCCACAAGAAACTACAATTCCCAGGATTCCCTAGTACTGAACCAGGGCAGTTAAAGCGATTTCAAACTGGATTTTTTTCTGCAGTGTGTTTTGGACCCATATTTCCTTGACGGGAAAAAAAATGGGACTTTGGGATGGCAAAAACGGGACAGGTTTATGTAACAGTCTGTATTCAGGAAAAAGTAAGATGATAACAAAAGTTTTATGACATGAACATACTGAGCTAACAATTATTCTCCCATGACAGAACTCATACAAAATTTTAGGTAGGCAAAGAGGGTGACTGGATTTCACCACAATCATACCATGAATATTTCTCCAATGAAGTAATGTTACACAACAAATTTCGGTCTTTCAACACCTTATCATAAAACTTCTGAAACTACACAACACAATTTTTTTGGGGGGGGGGGGTTGGTTGATTTGACAACCACTGTTTCAAACAGAGATCTTCAAACCATTTTTGCAACATAACAGAGCATTCTTCTTGCAAACAGGACCAAAACTGACATTTATATTAAAATGATAGGATGGTCTGGAAATATTGGGAAGAGGGGGATGGCACAGTCACCTTTAAAACATTACAAGTGGTCAGCCTACCTCTGCAAGAAAATCCCATTATAGGGTTGCCTTAGGGTTGCCATATGTGAGAAAAAACTTGAAGGCACACAACACATGCATACACGGCATTAGAAGCTCTGGGCAAAATGAAACTGAAAGGGCATCATGAATTATCATTAAGCATTTTTTCAGCGGCTTTTAAAATGTCCCACTTTCTCTCTCCTCCTCCCACTTTCCCACATTGCAGTCAGCTTGCTTCAGTTGTTGCAAATTGAATTCAAAGTGCACAAGTCATTCGAATTCAAAATGCAAACTCACTCATCTGGCTGGAGAGAAGAGGCGAGTCTTGCCCTTCTTTGTAGGGTCAGGCAAAAGCAACCTGCTGCAACTTCTCCCAGCTTGTGTGTTCTTCTTCATTAATAATTTTTGCCATCTTGACCCCACATCCTGATGTTTCTCAGCCACCCGTCTCCCAGTTTTCATCTGGGAAATGTTGGAGGAAATATGCAAGTATGCTCGAATTTTTAAAACAAACAAACAGCACTTTTCTGCAGAAATGTCCTCACCCCACCCTGGAGATTGTCATAGGACAAGAACAAAATTGCAGATGCTTTGAGAACTACCTTGCACTATCCTAGAAAGGAATGCCTGAAGTGCATTATTGATAGAATCCATGATACTGACACTGTTGGTATTGCTAATGTATATTTATTTATGACATTTTTATGCTACCCATCAGCAATTTATACAACTTACAAATCAATAAAAATGCAAAACGAAATAAAAACAGCTTCAAGATAGAAACAGCGTCTATACAAGCAGGACAAAAGCTACCGAATCCAGTGTAAAATCAAGAAAGGATCAGCAGAACATCAATACAAAATTGTATCCATGATATCATTTTTTAGTGCATGTCTTTGCTGGTTTTCACCAAAAATCAGTTCATTTACAGGACAGATTCATTCTTTCTTTCACTCATGTTGATCATGTAATGTGTGAATCATCCATTTATAGTTTCACAGAGCTGGCAAAAATTCCAAGGTTCTAGTAATGATTCATAGGCATTGCTGTCAGACTATCAGAGTTTTTGGCTGGATTTTGGGAGGCTTAGGGACTTATTTGTTTTATTTTCTCCAATGTAGGAGGCTGCCTTCTTTGGGAAGACTTTTATTCATCTAAATCAGTGATTTCTAAAGTGGGCGGCACACAACAGATTCACTCGGGCTGCGTCTGCAAGCCCGAGTTTGACACCACTGGATTGACACCAATCCAGTTTGACACCACTTTATCTGCCATGGCTCATGCTATAGAATTCTCGGAACTGTAGTTTATTGTGGTACCAAAACTCTCTGACTGAGATGGCTAAATGTCCCACAAAACTACAATTCCCAGAATTCCATAGCACTGAGCCATGGCAATTAAAGTGGTGTCAAACTGGATTATTTCTGCAGAGTGGATGCAGCCTCTATCTATTCATCCCAATCCTAGTTGTTTCCTTCAGCCACAGGACAACCAGGGTCTGGGTTGCAACTTCTGTGTGGAGGGAAGGAAGCACCATCTTGTCTTTGGTCTCAGGCAGCAAAATATCATGGGAAGGCACTCAGGCTCTCCTGAGGTGTTTGGGGTCTCAGCAGTTGTGTGATGGTGCTGACTTTTGAGGTTGTGAACCATGTACTTGTTGTTGTGTTCTTTCTGGTTGTTTCCAACTTATGGCAACCCTAAAGTGAACCTACCATGGGGTTTTCCTGGCATGATTTGTTCAGAGGAGGTTTGCCATTGCCTTCCCCTGAGGCTGAGAGCATGTGATTTGCCCAAGGTCACCCAGTGGTTTCATGTCCGAGCTGGGAATCGAACCCTGGTCTCCAGAGTCACAGTCCAACATTCAAACCACTAAGCCACACCAGGGGAGCACCACTTAATGTGATGGTTGTTGATTATTCATAAATAAAGAGCTTGAGAATGTTTGCTCACTGGACTTACTTTGGGCTTCCTAGATGAGGAAAGCAGGATATACATTAAATAAATAAGTTCACCTTCCAGAATCCTCCCAGACAACACAGTTAATGCAAAAAAGGAACGTAATTAATGCCAGCAGCCGGGGACCTCCATATCAAATGGGGCGGTGAAGAATTCCTTGGGATTTTAGTTGGTCATATAGAGGCCTTTTTCTAGGTGCTGAACCATATCCCCCAAAAGAAGTTCATTGCTCCTTAAAAGCCCAGAGTGAAGGCATTCACAACCTCACTGGCATGACTGTGTATGTGCCTTCAAGCCACCTGTCAAGGTTGTTGTTGTGGTTGTTGTTATATTTATACCCTGCTTTTCCTCCAAAATTGGGACTCAAAGCAGCTTACAATTTAAAAGCATAGTACAATTATGGCGAACCCCATGATTTCATGGGGTTTTCTTAGGGAAGGAATACTCAGAGGTGGTTTTGCCAGTTCCTTCCTCGGAAATAAAGCCTCCAGCACCTGGTATTCATTAGCAGTCTCCCATCCAAGTACTAACCAGGGCTAACCCTGCTTAGCTTCCAAGATCAGACATGATCTAGTGCCTTCAGGGCACTTAGACCTTACACTGGCATGAGAGCTGCCATTAAAATATTATGTTGGTTCCCTTTCCAATTTTGGAGAAGGTGTGATCAAGTTTATCAAGAATGGTTAAGGGTGTTAATTGGTGAAAGATCACAATACTTTCCCTCTTTGTGCTTCGAAGCCCAGAATCCACACCCTTAAAGAAGGCACGCTTCCATCAGAGAACTGGCTTTTCCACAATGCCCGGCATATGGCCAGCTGAACTGGAAAACTATCGGTTCGTTTCCTTCCTCTAGAGAGCCAGCCTTGGCTCTTTGCCACAATGGCTGACATTTAATGAAAGATTACCTTCCAGAAGATATTATCTCTTTTCTCCTTAGCATGGAAAGAAGAAAAGAAAGGTGGTGGAGGTGGGAGATGGGAGATTTCATCTTAAATATATTCTATGCATGCCTGCGTAGCTTTGTATCTTTTGGAAGAAAACAGGCCTGTGTAATAGCAGATGACCTTCTGATCAGGTCCGGGATGATGGAGTGTGAATTGAAGAAGTGCCACAAATGTTTTCCCTGTATTAAACGTAAGCTACAAGTCTAAAAATGGTACCTCAAATGAGCACCAGAATGGCCCCAACTATGCAACATCCGTGATCTCCAAGTGTCCAGTTTGGCAGAGACATCCTCTGTTGTCCACTTTTTCAGCTTTTTAAGTGTCCTGGTTCCTCTCTCCTCTTCCCACCTCATCCCATGAATGATCCCCATTGTGATCCCCATTATGATCTCTATCGCCATTGTGAACGTGGGGTCCCTGTTCACAATTCACTCTCATGATGCAGATCACTAGTAAAAGGGAACTGGAAACATCAGTCAGCTGCTTCCCAAAAGACAGGAGAATAGACCCCCATCGATTGCAGCAGCTGCTTCCTGGTAAGTAAGGATTGGGAGACTTTCATGGTCCCTGTATGTCCCCTAAACTTGGGATTCTGTAGGGATTTTGAATACTATACAGTTACAAATGCATAAATCACGTTACACATTTGAACATCTCCAACATGATTCCAGAAGTCTAATCTATCCAGAAGGTGGATTCAGGACAGTGCCAAGTGGTGGGTAAGCCTGCAAAATACAAGGAAAGAGTAAAATCTATAGACTCATTTGAGATTTTTGCAAGTTGCCGAAACAAATCAAGGATATAGCTCTGTTAGTCTGAAATATCAGTATGCAAAAGGATTTTGTAGCACCTTTGAGACTAACTGTGTGAAAAGAAGTTGTGGCATAAGCTTTCATAGGCTTGGTCTGCTTCCCCAGATTCCCCATGCCTTTGCAGAAATAGACTGAGCCCATGAAAGATTATGCTCCAACTTCTTCTGCACAGTTAGGAGATTACCACACAAGGCGCTAGCGATGGAATTGAAGTGGAATTGCAATGTATGATTCCTCTCCTTTTTTGCATGACATTGTCACTCATCCATTGCTGATCCGTCGTTATACTGTTATTATTGCACAATTTCACATTAACGAGAGATACTTGTCAATGCGAAATTGTGGGATAATAACAGTATAACAACGGATAAGCAATGGGTGAGTCATGACATCATGCGAAAAGGAGAGGAATCATTGGTTCTAATTCCATTTCAGTTCCATCATTGGCACCTCGTGGGGTAATCTCCTTGGTCTCAAAGGTGCTACAAGATCCCTTTGCATAGCGTTGCCAATTATATCAAGCTGCAACTCTGGTAGCTGAGCTGGAGATTTGCATCCAGCCCTTTCCTTTTACCGAAAGATGATCCCAGCAAAACGGGAGAATTTACAGATGACCCACCAAAACTGGGAACTCGGGGCCAGGCCCTGAGATCTGGCAACCCTAGGACTGTGATATCCCTCTTCAGCTTCACTCCTGCCAGCTGTAGGTCAGGCCCAGCCGATAAGAGGACGCTGCCTTCCTCACAGAAGCATAATATTACATAATGGTCCCTTTGGGATTGGTTTCCAAGACACCCGAGCCCACGATATTCTCAGCACAGCTACCTAAGGAGTGTAAATTTAGAAGCTCATCGATTCCCTCCAGGCACCGAGGAAGGGAGCACCTTGCGGCTTAAAGTCCCCTCATCTTCAGAAGAATGCAGCTGGGACTAGTTACCAGCCCACCCCATGACACCCTGTTTATCATGAGCCTCATTTTCTGGCTCTCAGGATGAAGGAAGGGGTGGCTGGGTAGAAAAAGAGCTTGCAAGGTTTCCAACTTCTAATTCCGTTTCGGGAGATTTATCACAGGAATGCTGATGTAGTACCAGCTGGCTTGAAAATGCTAAGAGAACTATATTTATTCTTTCTGGAAAAGCCAGGCCTCTTGAACTATCAATCTTTCCCCCCTACCCACCTTTTTATATATATATATAAAAGAAAAGGAAATCCTCTAAAGCTTTGAAATTGCTGAGATGGGATGCCAACCTTCTAGGCTGCAGCAGCTCATTGAAACCAATGGTGTGATTTACTGCCAGTGGCGGTTGGTAGCTTTCATGTCAGCATGGCATTGAATCTGCTCCAGATTTTAATCTATATTTTAGAGGGGATATCCAAAATACTCACCATGAGTCTGGATTGACTGAGGACAGTTAACAACAAATCCAAAATACTCAGCCCTATTCCCCAAACAGGTTCAGCATGTCACAGTGCATCTACACTGTAAAAATAATGCAGTTTGATACCACTCTAAGTGCTGTTGTTCCATCTTATAGAGTCCTGGGATTTGTAGTTTTACAAGGTCTTTACTCTTCTCTATCAAGGAAGGCTGGTGCCTCACAAAACTGAAAATCCCAGGATTCTGTAGGATGGAGCCATGGCTCTTAAAGTGATGTCAAACTTTATTATTATTTCTACAGCGTTGACGTACCCTCAGTGAACTCTTTTAAAATTCAGACTCAAACCTGGGGCAGATTCACTGGCCCTATGATTTGGAAGCCACAGTTTGTTGCCCAGTGGTGTGGGCAACAAGACTGATGTGGGAATCTCCGTCCTCCATTGCAACTCCTTCTTGGTTTTTACCAGGAAAGATTTCTCCATTGGTCACCTGCAAGCTGTGGACACAGCAAGAAGGAACTTGATGTCTATAAAATCCCTTAAGGCCCTCATGAAACAAGTCATTGCCTGACTGGTGCCAGCCATAGGGATACTTGTCTGCTCAGCAGATTTTTATCAAAGTTGCATCAATGTTTTCTAATACTAATCACCTTCCTTGCTGCACCTATGGTCTCCCACATTGAAAGAAATATTTTGTGTGTCAATCAGTAAGTATTCACTGAGGATGCAAACTGAAAGAATGCTACAGAGGAAATACAGGCAGAAAGCTGTTGACTCACAGCTTTTAAGCCTTTAATTACTCATTAAGAGACCAGCATAGATGGGATTATGAGGAAGATGCTCCAAACCATGGAAAGATCATGTAGCTAGGTAGGAACAGCTGCCAAAGGGGCAATCACTGCTTTTTAAAAACCCTTGTTAAAAATGAAAGATGGTCAAAATCTGCTGCAACAATAGTTACTGGGATTCATTCAAGGCAGACTTTGGGTTTGTGGGATCTACTTGGCTTTGTTACTAGAGCCTCCAAATTTACCACCCTGAGCCTGGTGCAAAAGGGCATACTCAGGGTGCAACTGTGTTGTAGTACGTTTAATGCAGTAGGCACTCCGTATCCACAGATTGTGCATCCATGGATTGAGCCATCTAGAACTTGAAAATATTCACACACTAAAAATTCCAAAAAGCAAGTCTTGATTTTGCCATTTGATATAAGGAATGCCATTTTACTATGCCATTATATTTAATCAGACTTGGGCATCTCCAGATTATGGCACCCTGGACCCAAATCCCAGCAGATACCAAGAGTCCACTGGATATAACCTGGAATCACCCTGGTTAGTTTTAACTAGAGGAGACCCATTGACTCAACTGATGAATGGTGAGTCAACACATAGGGAAATCCCTTTGATTCAATGACTTTCCTCCAGCTGGGACTAACCATAGTATTTAGGCCAAGGGTGGGCAAAATATGACCCATGTTCCCAGGACCCCTGGGGTAAATTCAGTATTGCCCTAAATGTCCTCTGGACTTCCAGAAAATGCTGGGCTACTTCCTGCCTCATATCTGAAACATTTCTTGCAAGTAGCTCACTTATATGAAAGACCTGAGTAAAAGATATATTACATTTGTGCATACATGGAATTATTTTTCATGGGAAAGTCTTCCCATAAGTCAGTCCCTTCTTGAAGTGGGACAGTCCCCCCAGTTCTTCACCTAAATCAGGGATTTGTTATATTCCTTGGTTACATTTATATCCCAGAGTGATAGAATTCAAAGATATAGCCGTGTTAGTCT